AGTGGGCGAAAATCCCACAATCTAAAATTGACGAGATGATTCTCACGATGCCCCATATGTGTCAATAGGGCAAGTAAATGTACTTATTGTCCAGACATACATCTATGGGACTGGAGTTATATGATTCAAGACAGTGTGTGCAAAAGTTGAAATTTTTCATAGTTTGTGTGTCACGTGACAACAAACCTGAAGTTGAAGTATTTTTTAAAGGTTTATTTTGAAACAAAGGAATTAAATTTAGATAACATAAAACTTTGAATTATAACATACATTATTATGTTAATTTCATTGATATACATTGATAATAAAGTTGTTTAATTAAATTCTGAATGTAACTCAGCGACTTGTGTAGAAAAGGATTTAAACGGTACCCATTGTGAAAGGGTTAAGGAATAATGTAGAAAAGTAATGTTTTTTCAGTGCTTAAGTCTTCAGTAGAAACATTTGATTGGTGTTAAGAATAACTAAGCTATAATTCTGATTTAGGGAGAGGTTCATCTAAACATCATGCAGACAGAGATAGAGATTCATTACATGAAACAGAGCCAGGTTTTATTCGCAATGGTCCAACGAAGCCCCCTTTTTCTCATAGAAGATCAGCTCCTGTTGAATCATGGGATGATGAATTGGGTAAGCTTCAGTTTGGAAATAGTCATATTATCAGTTGCAGTGCCACAGCTGAACTTTTGGTTATTAAAGTTATAGTAGGTTATTTTGTGGTATTTGAACTTTGAATTAAGTTTTATAAGTGCTTATGTATTAACCCTTTAAAGTCTGGTGGCAGGTGTGATGTCACCTCTGACCTAGCATTAATAAAAAAAGTTAATAATTCTTAAAAATAACGTATGTGAAACACAGACACTTTAAACACTTGACATGTTAACTACAGTGAATTTTTTTTTATCGATTTATGACTTTGAATAAAAACTACTACAAAACATAGCTATTTACCATGCCATTGTATATGACTCGTGTACCATTGGCCTGAATGCAAGTTTTCATACATATACGGCCTAATGATGTCATGTGATAGTTTATTTGGTTGACAGAAATGGTGCAATAAAAAACTTGTGTAAAGCTTTAAAACTTAATAGTATTTATCTGAATCTGTCCATAAAACTTATCTTTGTCATCATTTTGCTAATGTATGTAACATGTTTGAAAAATAATGTCACATCTGTACCTTTGCCTGAGGGTAAAATACAATTGTAAGTCTTCATGATGGCCTTGAGTTTCTGAATTTTTGAATTCTTATAAACAGAAAATTGACTGCTGGCAGTTATTTAAGTAAAATAAACAAACACAGAGGAAAACTCATTAGGTTAATTTATATCCTTTCCGTGGCTTACAAATAATAGAAAATCATTACTAACAAGACGAAAGTCCAATACAACCTCAAGGCACCCTAAAACATAGTAAGAAAATGTTCAACTAGTGTAACTACGAAAGGAAGTAAATTAGATTTGTGGCAAATAAATTACAAGAGAGAAAATAAACCTAGGTTTCAGATGATATATTTATGATTTTGCTAGATTCAGAAAAATGCAAGTTGTAAAAAGAAATGCAGACAGTTGAATTTTTCAGTTCTTAACATCACCAATATAAAAATTTCACTGTTTCAAATTATTTGAGGAAAAATAAGTTCTCAAACAAATACAAAGTTTATAAATTTATGTCTGTCTACCGACACAGGTGTGAAATTTAAAGATTTCTACCATCTCAATAATAATTAGAACAGAGAGTAAAAATTGAACAATAGTTTGATTTTTTAAAGTTATTTATTGAAAAACATATTAGTAAAACCTAAATCAAAAGAAAATTTCAACATTTCAAGTACAATTTCATTTTTTGAGGTAGTTTGAGGGGATACATCACACATTTTTTTCAAAAGTTGATGTTATTTTACCCTAAGATACCAGGCTGGAAAGGGTTAATTGCACATTTCTGTTGACATATTTTTATGTAGCTGCTAGTTGTACACTATAAAAAAGTCAGTTGATTATCAAATATATCTAAAAGATTATTTAATTAATCACATTAAACCAACTAGCATTTTTCTGTCATAATAAAATTGAATATGTGTCTGTTTTAACACACTTCAGACTATATAGAAGTTGTGCAAGCATTCAGAATAATAAATTGAAGAGAAAAGTAAGTTTTGAAAACATTTGTTAAACATTATTTGATACAAAATATGTGGTTGAATTATGGGTTTTTTTGAAGAACTAATAAATATATATTCTCCCTAATCATTGTATACAATAGTTAAGAACTTACAAAAACCAGTCAGTTCTTTTGTTAAATATTTTATTTTCTGTCCACTAATCAAAATCCTCTAGTATTAAAACAATTTCTTTACTCTTGATAGCTTCTAAATTGGAAGTTTGATATCAATTATACTCCTGAGGTATGAAAGTTTGTATCAGTTTAGGTGTATTAAAATAAATGCTGTAATTGACTTTACATGGCACAAGCTAAAGTTACTTAAAAGATGATGTTTAATGAGCAAAAGCTTATACAACAAATATCAGGTTTTGTTGTGTATAAGGTAAATATGAGGTTTTATCAATATAAAAAAAAAGCATGCATATATATATATATATATATATATATGATAGCTTGGGTAAAATAATTTTTGCAGTTTTCAAACAGCATAGGAATATGCAAATAGATGAAGAATATTTTTTAATAATGAAATGGGACATGGTGATGTGTTAAGTCTTTTCTTTTAGACTTTTAAAAAATAACTGCTTATTGCAATTTGGCAGTGATCTGTTTTATGACTGTGTTACTTGTTATTAGTTGGTGGTGACCAGTTACCGGAATGGAGTGTAACAGATCCCGAAAAAGTTGGAACTTTTGATTCTTCAGGTGCCTTCAGAGAGAATAAGGTAAGAAGTTTAAGTTGTTTCTCTCTCTCTCTCTCTCTCTCAATTTGCTTGATAAGCATAAATATTTCCTGTCAACCTTATTGATTTTTTGTTTTGTTGACTAATAACATAACAGTTGAGCAATTTTAAATGTGGTGATTTTTAGCAGCTAAACTTAAGTTAACTAGACTGGTATGTTATCAACCACTAAATTCGTCATGAGAAACATTTTAATATTAAGAAAAGAGAGATGCAAATATACCCGACTTGTATCGGCCAATTACCCAAAATATGGGACTGAATGAATTGCTGCCAATCACCATTCTAATCAAGAATAATAGTTATGATAACCATAATAATAAATAATTTAACATTGATGGAAGTTAAAACTGTAAACACAACACAATTTAAACATATTGGTTAAATATTGTAAAATAATTAAATGTATCACACTGTTAAAAAGAGCAAGGAGTGACCTGCTGATTTAGACAGATAATGATGTAGTAAAGAGAACAAAAGAGTTCACTGTATGTTGTATTAGGTAAAAGTTACACTTCTTAATAGTCAAAATTAAAAAAATATTGGTTTATAAGAAGTCACATTTTATATTTATAATTTAAAATATTGTAAAATGAAACAAAAATATCCCACACATGAAAAAAGAATTTCAAGCATCTCTATCTCTGTTGTTGGCAGGATTGGGGTAGTCCTTCAGGTGACGAGTCAGAAGGGGAAAACCATAAAAATAACTTACAAATTTCTAAAGTAAGTAGACTTTAAAAGCTGTAGTCAATTACAAAGAAAGATAGTATTGGTAGGATTGTTTCACATAAATAATTAAGTTGATATACCTCGTTCAAAGTAAACAGTGATGAAAAGATAGTACTACTATGTTGGTGGATTCTGTATATAAGGTACATTGTTAATTTTTAAATATTATAATTATATTTAATTTGTTGTCTAGAAAGAAACAAGTTTGTTTAAATAACCTGTGATATTTAATATAGTGATATGATAAATTATATCGTTATTATAGTGCATGAAATGCTTGTAAGGTGAAATTTCTTTAATAAGCTTCTCTGTGAAATATTTGTACATCTAATACCTATTATATGTGAGTAAATATCCTGAAAGATGTTACTTATTGCTGCTGCAGTCTAGTGTTGCAGCCTTTTGTTACATAGATTCAATTTTAGTAACTGTTTGCAACTCAGAGTTGCCTCATGTGCATGATATGAAGAGTTATAAAATGAAAATTTGCTTATATTTTTATTAATTTAAATTTAACTTACTCTTAAGAAATTTGCAAGTATTTACAGTTTTCTAATGAACTGTTGAAGTTGTAATACTCTAGGTCAATGTTTTCCAAACTGTGGGACGTGCCCCTCTGGGGTGACACAGCTATTTGGTGGGAGAGTCCCAAAATAACGGTGGAAGAAACAGAAGAGTTGGAGACAACGAAAACCTAACAAAACTATTTCTTTGCTCTCTAACCTTTTTTTTTTTTGCTCTCACATTTACTCACTCCTTACAAGTACTTGTTCTTTTAAAAAGAAATTATTAAAAACAGGTAAAGAAAATGATTTTGCTGTTATCACTTGTGAAAATTATTTTAATGTGAAGAGGGAGGGGCAATGGAAACTTTGCTGAGTTAGAGAAATGCTGCTATCGTTATTTAAAGTTTGGAAAACACTGTTCTAGATGATTTTTCCTTAGTTTAGCAGCTCAGCCTGTACAATTTCCTATGTATTTTGTATTTATACAAAATATACGCAAGTGTATCAGATATGTCTCCTACTGTTTATTTAGCTTTTCAAACCTACCATTTATTCTCTGAAAAATGAAATCAAACTTTTTTCCCCAACTCATTTGCCAATGAAGTATCAAACTTCAGTTGCAATTATTTTGATATAAAATTCTGGAAAAGTTGAGAAAAGGTGTAAATCATATTAATAAAGTAGATTTTTTCTAAACTTACAAAAAGTAGGATAATACAGTTGTTGGCATTTGTGGTTTTTTAGTGTCAAAATCTACTCTTGTTGATTGCAAATTTGAATATTATTTAATAACTTGAATTTAAAAACATTACCTTTGATACATTATTGCATATGAGTAGATCCATCTGTAGTTTAAGAACGTACATATTAATGGTAAGGATTTACATGTCAATAGATCCTTTAATGTAAGGATATACTTATCAATGGCTCCATCTACAGGTTCGGTTGATTCATCCTAAATCTTGACCCCAAATTGACATTTAGTGTTTCCATACTATAACTTTTAACAAGTTTTGTGCATCTTCACAAAATTTTGCAGAATTCCACACATAAATTCAGAATTTTTATTGAAGTATATTTTTACTAAAAATGTCTTCATTATTATATGCACTCAAAATGTTTTGACTGCTCTGAGTGCAAAGTGATTTTCATATTAAGATTAAAAGTATTTTTCTTCATCTGAAAACAATCAAATTTCATTTGTATATTCTCTAAACACTCCTAGATAAATTCCAATTTTTTTTTTTGTAAAACTTTATATTTTATCAATTATTTTCTCTATTCTAATTCTATACAGGGTTAGTCAAATTCACCGACCTTTTAACCACCATAAAAAAATGAAATGAATCTAAATTGACATTTTCTTCTTTCTTCAATTTGTAACAGAAAACTACACCAAAATAGCTTAAAAGTAGTAACTGTATACATCTGTTGATACTTAAATTTTATTTTTCTATTGCTGCTATCTAATTAATAGCCCCACCAAACAAATTGTAGATCGTTCAGCGAAAGTGTAGCTCACGTTATCCTATTGAATTATGTAATGCCTGAACTATTAACAAGCTGCTTGTGAGAATACCTTGTGAAAAATTTTATTTTTTTCTTATGTAATCTAACCCAGTAAGTTTCTAATTTTTTAACTTCAGTTATTTTTATAATAATAAAGAATACACATGAAAAACAAGATACATAATACTTACCTCGGTCTTTTTGTTTGCTGTCAACTGTTGATGAAACTTAACCCTAAGTTTTTATACTAATAGTATACTACTGTACTAAATGATCTTTTATTTAATTAAGTAATGCTCCTAAGAACACAGAATAAACATATAAAAAGCAGTCAATATCTTATAATTGTCACAATTTCTCTTGCTTTCTAACTATGCAATAAGAGCCATTAAAAATTCAGCTAAGCTCATCAGTGGGTTTCCTGTGGGAATAAAGTTTGAAGTGGAAGCAGAATATACAATTCTATATACAGAAAGCAACATAATATAATACATCATTTGATAGCTTAAAACTTTGGCTTTCTATTAATTTTAAATAGTATAGTATTAAATGTCAGAGAGAACTATTGGCAATTTGTGAAAGAGAGGATGTGAAAGGTGGGCATGACAAGAGGTGTCTGATTTTCTGTTTTTTTGAAGGCAATAAAAACTGTGCTTTGCCTGATCATTAAAAATATTATAGTGAGTAATTTATGTTAAATTCCGTACTTCTCAGAGGGGTGGTAATTAAATTAGAGAAGAGGGAATATCTAGAGAGCAAATGTCACCATTCTCATACTTAGGTGAGATTGAGGATTTTTTAAAATATTTCCTTATTAAATTAAAAATTTAAAACTTGTATAACATTAAAATTTGATTTATTAATTACATTTTTATTCCTAGTTTATTCCTATACCACGATGATAAAAGTCGTTTAATTAAATTTTGCATGTAACTAAAAAAAGTTGTGACATGCACATTTTGATCTGCCTATAGCGAGAGGGTTAATAGTTTCATCTTCAAGGTAAGGATTTACATGTCAATAGATCCTTTTTCTGTTTAAGGATTTGCGTATCAATAGATCTATCTACAAGTTAAGAATGTACATATTAATAAATTTGTCTTGAAGGTAAGGATTTAGATATCAATAGATCCATCTGCAGGTTAAGAATTTACATATTAATAATTTCATCTTCATGATAAGAATTTACCTCTCAGAAAACCCATTTTTAGGTTAACAATTTGCATATCAGTTGTTTTATTTTCATATTAAAGATTTACAGATCAAAGATATGACTATTTACAGAAGAATTTGTTTTGTAAAAAATTTTGAAACTAATACAGGAAAATATATTTAAAAGTTATGTGTATAGCTTAATAACATCTGTTATTATGTAAAATTCCTGTAGAAAAGCAAGTTATATGCTTGCTGTTATGAATATTTTCAGAAGGTGTGAATTATATTTATAATGATACCAATTTGTTAGTTGTTTAAGTGACGAATAACTTCAATTTAATTTTTGTTCAGCTTGAAAAATTTTCCAGTATTTTAAGTTTTGGGATTTATTTCCAATCAAAAATTTAATCCAAATTATAAGGCGAATTCTTAAAAACATTCTGACTACTTTTTAGTATTATGTCCCATTTTACAGTGCATGGGAGGGTACGTGTAGGAGAAAAATATTATCTCACGTGCATGACCTATTATGTTAAGCATGTGACTGGTTATCTTGAGAGCACGAGATAATTATTTTGAGAGCTCAGTTATTATTTTATGCTTTCGATATAATAAGTTATGTGCTCTATATTAGTGTTTTTCAACCACCAATCTGCAGACTGGCACTAGTCCGTCACAACTACTTTGCTGTATCTGTGGGATTTCATGAAAACAAAGAAAAACTGATAAAATAAACAGATGTAAATCATAATAGTATTTCACTGTCCACTGCATTTTAGCAGTCCAAGACAGTGTAGGGAGGCAGTGAGCTGATCCCTGGTATAGAAAAGGTTGAGAAAGACTGCTTTATATAATTTATTATATATATTCTAGTGAGTATGAAATAAAAAGTCATATGCGTAATATATTTTTCTCCTCCTTGTCCTCTTCTGACCTCCATACCATTTTATAATGTTGGTGCATGTTTTATTATGATATTTTTGTATTTAGGATTGGATATGAAAATTTTGGTTTACAACCAAATTTGATGGAAAAAAGATTCGGTATTGATGAAAATAAAGGTCACATTAAAATGTATCTGTGGATCTGGAATAAGAAAAGTTAGTATTAAGATACAAGTGAAATCTTTGTTTTCTTTGGAGACTGAAGCAGTACATTTAAGAGTAGTGGGCTCAGCTTAATATGTAAGAATGAACAGATTGGATAGTTGGATTTGTGGGATCAGTTCAATGGGAAAAGTGATAATTTTTTGAGTTGATGGTTTGCATTTAACTCTTTCAGCATGAGTTCGGTCCCTAGGACTGACTTTATAACCATTTTGTACTTGTTATAGTTTTCATACAATAACTTAAATTAGTAAGTGTATGTTCATGAAATCTGGCAGATTATCAGTAAACATTACAAGGCTTTCATATGCAAGATATCAGATTTTTTTTAAGTCTTAAGGTTTGTTAAGCAATGTTTTTCTCATGCCTTTTTTCTTTTCACATGTTGCCTTTCTAATATGCAAAGTAATTTTCATTTTAAGATTAAAAATACTTTTATGCATCAGAAAATGTTCAATTTTCATATGCAAAATCTTTATAATGTCTAGATAATTATCAAATGTTTCTTAAGAAAAACTTCACATTTTATCTGTTGATTTCACTAACAAATCTCTTTATGGGTTCAGTCGATTTGACCGGTCTTGTAATCACCATAAATTAGGAAATAAATATGAATTATGCCTTTTTCTTTCTAGAATGATTACAAATTATAACACGAAAAAACAAATGTTTAGACTAAATCATAAACTACTATATCGATACCATAAAATTCCACTATAATTTATCAAGCTTAGTAACTAAGCTGTATTTGGGTCTAAAACAAATATGAAATTTTGAGCAGACTAAAGACTCAACTTACCACTTCAAAAATTTGTATCAAAAGAACGAGAGGACGTCATAATACTTGAAAATGGCTGAGAAAGCCACTAGGGGGACATTCTGAGCTTTCAGTTGGTTATTCATGTGTCATAGATAGAAGTAAGTGTATATAAGGGAGCGTTTCAAAAAATGGAAAGAAGTGAGCAGAGCAGCTGTGTTTGATTCAGTACATGAGCAATATCTCATCAGATATTAAAGATAGGAGGTTCTTATTTTATATTCTAGCTTGTCGATATCAGTAATTTGAGTTCCTAATTCCTACAAAACTATAGACTTTGCATTTAAATCTTTCATCACGGGTCGGTCCCTGGG